CCACAGTCTCTAGCTTTCAGGTATGGACAACAAGCCCGCTTCACTTCTGAATTCCTGAGAAAAACAGCACGAAGAGGGCAAAAGATGGAGAAAGGAATGGACACAGAGTGGGAGGGAAGCGGGATAAGGAGGCACGAAAAGAAGAATTATATGAAGGGCCGGGGGGAAAGAGGAGAGAGATAGCGGAACAGAAAGCATGAGATGCCGAGGAAAAAGAAGGGGGATGGAAATAATGAGGGATGGAAGGAAAGTGGGGATAAGAGAGGAGTGGAGGAGAGGGAGGGGGCAGAAAGAAAGAGCTGAGTGGAGCTGAGGAGGCGCGGGGCCTGGGGGATTGCTGCGCGTTTATCCTCCTCTGCAGCAGGCTTCTGAAGCACTACCTCAGGAAAAGACTTTAAAGCAGGGTGGCTGCTGCTCCGCACTGATCTGTTAATACCCACAGATACATGAGGCTTCAACATAGCACTCTGGGGGTGGGGTGGAGCGGGACAGTGTGTTTAAGTCTGCATGTGAGTCTGTGTGTGTTTTTTTTGTATTAGGTGTTCAAGGATCATATCGTATCTCTGCAGACGTTATCCCATCCCAACCGCTAGCTTGCCTCGAACTAACCCGGAGACATGAAGTTACCGGAGCGATTAAAAGATTAGATTGAACCACCATGTGGATGTGTGTCAGCGTTGTCACCTAAAGCTGCTGCCGTAAGTGATGAGAGGGTTTGAGGGGAGATGACTACCCTGTTTTAGGAGCCTGTATAAATAGCCTCCTGCCTCCTGGGAATTGTGTGTAAAACTCCCTCAGAGCCAAAGTACATGCTGCAAAAATATACACACTGGGAGGTGGATAGGCTGCATGAGATTTGAGCTGGCTGCTTAACAGAGAAACATGTCCCTTAAGCTCAGGGGGGGCTTTGAGATTAATTCAACTAAAATACCCAAAGGGGATGAAAATGTAAGATTTCAAACGATCAATTTCTCCGTATTCAGGCCTCCTATGTATATTAAGTGAGGTTCAGGAGAAGGTTGATTCACAGTCTGATTATGGCGAGAGTCCCTAAAAAAGGTTTCCAATGCGAAATTGTCAAAAGGCTCTTTGTAAACACATCAACAGAATTTGAAATGCCTCACCCAGAAAACAGTAGGACTAAACTTTAGGAAAGGCTTTATAAGACTACACTCAAGACCCTTTATTAAAAAAATAATTTGTGCAAGCAAACATGTTTTCCTCTGAAGCCCATCTTTTTTTTTTCTAAATGCAGCTCCCTCAGAAAATAGTCCTATTTCTTGTTTTTTCACGTCTATTTTAGCAAAGCCTGCAGAACTTTTCAAGGCAAGACATAAAACATGTAATTCAAGACTTTTGCATTTAACCCCTTCGGTTAACTTCTTAATAGCTCTACATTATTTTAGTAGAGGACATTATATTATTGGTTGGATTTAACTGACTATGATTTTACTAGGTTTAAGTTAAGGTGCTATAAAGTGAGTTGACAACATGTTTTGGTTAAGGGCGAAAATATGCTCAAGTGAACTGTCATGTTAAGGTAGCTTTAAGGGTTAATTAACATTTAAATCTGGTGGATTTTCAGTTAGATACATGTATTTTACAGTACAAACCATAGACAACAGGATGGAGCTATATGAACTTATGAAAGCCCTTGCATTTTTAGTATTCAAACAGTTTATTTCAAACTGGGTTTCATAGTAAGAGAGTAGACCTTGGCAGATATTACTGCTCTCCGATATGTGTTGAGTTTCAAATAAATTCTTTCTGTGGCTTAAACACAATTAAATCAATGACTTCAACTGATGAAACTTTGTGAACAAGTTCCAATCCAAAGAAAAAAAGCAACAAATTAGACTAAAAGATGACAAAACAAGTTACAGCCAAGGACATAGTTTGTATCCAAGAACATGGCTAAAATCACTGCTTATCACCATCGATCCTGTGAAAGAGAAAGTAAAAACAATACCTTTTAGATTCTCCTGTAAGTATAAACCCACAGCAGCTATACACATAATAACCTTACTGTATGTTCTCACAAGTGACATAAACAAGTTCTCTGTGTATGCTGATATTCTGTATAACTCTGACACGTCCTACAAATTGAGAATGATGAGACAACTAAGTGAAAAACAATAATACATCACCAGTTGAACAGACATTAAAAGTATAATTTTTACTTAGTGAGTATTTAAAGGATACAAAACTACATTTCCAATATGGGTTCAGGTCAAAACACCCAACTGATGAAAGACTATGGCATCAGGAAGTGAGAAAGGAGATGGACAAATACAATGAAATCATAGCTGACGGGAAGCTGCAACATGTTGGTGTTTGATCAAGATAAGCTCAGCAATTCTTCAAAGCCCTGTGTGAGTGTTCAGCAGTAATCTCCAGAAGCTTTCTTTTTGTTCTTAACTACAGACATGTTGACTTTTACTCACACTGAGAATATGAAAGTGCCAAATTTTCTAGACAAACCTGAGTTACAAAACTGAAACCTTAGGTATTAAACAAGTGTTATCCTTATGAATGTAGTCCTGGAAAGGAGGAGACAGAAACATTGTCCTCCTTGATGATCAAAGTTACAGTGGTCTACAGTGTCCATGATTGATCGTGTCCATGTTATCTGAATTTACATAAGGACCCCCACTTATTTTTTAAATTCATATTCTGGTTATTTAATTATTTCTTCCCTTTCCTTTAAATGACATTGTGCACTAACAGTATTGTGCCACAGTAAAGACATGCGTTTTTACCGACTTGTGTGTGAATGTTTCCTCTCACTTGATTATGTCATTAGAAGTTAAATGTGCTCCGTTGGTTCCTTCTAGATTGTTAGTTGTTTCTTATCGACCAGGGCCACTTAAACTCTTGATAGAAATCACCTGTATTCTCAGATAACATGACAGGCTATTAGGAAGACGTGCTTAACCAGGCGTGTGATATGGCCTGCAGTGGCCTTTAATGATGGTGTAAACAGCAGTGGTACCGGGTCACTGCTCTGTGGTACAAGCACCCAGCCTCTGCAGCTTGTTTACTGTGCCTTTTCTTAATGTATAAGGATAATGTGCAGCGTAATGTAGAATAGGCTCCAAGTTAACATGCAAACAAACTGCAGGTCTAAAAGACCATGGAGGGATGTAGTATGAGAATGTGTCTGCTAGAAGCCCAATTGAAATTCACCATTTGTTTCCGGCTGTTTTGGGATGCTATCCATCTTACTCTTCTGAATTATATTTTATCAACCAACTTTGATTGCGTTGCCGTTGAGAGAGAGTGAAGGAGATTTACTCACGGCTAGGTGCAGAAAAGATTGTGACAGAACTTTTAAAAAGAAAAAGGAGATTCAACACACAGAACAAACTTCTGAGGCAGTAACATGGCGCCATGGCACATCATTTGGCCAATTACAAACTTCCATTCCCTGTTCCCAGCCTATAATAGCCAATGAGAGCCTGGGTTGAAAGGAGGTGTCTGGCCCTATTTTGATGTCTCTACACCCAGCCAGTTGCTTACGACTGTGCTGATAACTGACATTTCTGTGAACATGCTGCTTCAATCGACACCTCACATCCTGAGAGCAGGAAGACAAATATTAAAGCCAAACAGACTGCGTTCAGTGATGAAGCCATGCATTATATCAGCTGCAGTTTGCACGTTTCATGATCTTTGGTAGAATTTCACATTCCAAAACTACCGATTGTAAGCTTTCAAGAGACCTAATTGGTGCTTATAGTCCATACGATTTGAGAATAGCATGAACCTTTGTCACCGTATGTGTGGATGTTAATTTTTAGGCCAATGTTACAGGATGCTGAAGCTTTAAACCTTTAAAATGCTATATATATTACAGTATAGCAATTAAAAAATATTAAGGCTTGTAAGTCTGAAAGTGTTGAAAACAATCTGATGGCTGAATAGATGAAAAATGAAATGATGGTAGACCAAAGCAGATGCTGCTGTTAAGTTCTGTGTTGATGCAATTAGTTTAGCTTCATCACTAAATATAGAACTCCTGCACGTCATACTTTGAGTACTCAGTGAAGTAAAATTGTTGCCTTGAAGACTTTTTTGGAAACTCTCTGTGTTTCAATACAGTTAGTAGAAATGTCCTCATTGGCGTATTTCTCTAAAAGCCTCACACCTGCAACACAGCAGACTGCACACACCAAAGGATGGGTTTTCATCCTTTTGGGGCTCTGAGCATTTTGTTTACGCTCACATTTCAGCCAGCCAAACATCTACCCAGTTCAAATGATCTCTGTACTAACCAGTTCAAAGAGCTTCTAAATCATCATGTTCAGAAGAATTAAGAGGCCTAAATCCTGCAGCTTCGTCTTGCTGACAAAGTCTGCAGGCTTATAATCTGGACACTGTTACAGGGCAGCTTGGGTTTCATGAGAAAGTGTTCTTTTTTTTTTCAAACGCTATCTACAGGGGGTGGAGTTTGTGTGATTAGAGTCAAGTTACACTGTAATTAAAGTAGTTAAATAGCTGCACTGCAATCTCAGGAGACCCTTGCATGTTACACTCAAGGTAAGGGAGGAGGAGGTGGTTTGGAGATGTAAAGCAGGTAATTAAATGAAGATTGTAGGCTATTGAATTATCTCCTGGGTGAATACAGTACCTTCTTTTCTTCCTCCTTCCCTCCTCCATCCCTCGCTCTATAGACCTGCACCTGAGATGAAGATGACAGTTAATGATGGTCTTTTTTTAAAACCACTATCTCCTGCCCTGTAGGTCACTCTAACCCTCTCCAGACAGACTGAGGTTATTTTTTTTCATGCTTTACTAAGAAAGGTCCACGCCATTTTCTTCCCCCTCTAAACTCCATTAGCAGATTGCCCCCTCCTCTTTCTGTTTTCCATGTTTCCACCTACCCACCAGCCAACCTAACTATGCGGTTACAAAATCTAACTGCAGAGTTTGTTCATTTTAAACGAGAAAAAAAAAAAGAAATAATGAAGTTCACTCGGGGGTCTGTTTTATTTTTGCAGAAGTTGGAGAGGAGCCAAAGAGCAACAAGAGAGACTGATGTCTGATGGCACGGTAAAGACAACTTGAAGGACCTGGGAGCCATCACTCGCACAGAGTGGCAGCAAGGTCATGTGGCTGAGGAACGGTGAGTCTAGTATTTGCATATGCCGAGGATAGGAAATTTAGGTCTGCTTAGTGCCTCCATTGTAGTCATTTTAAAATGTGTTTAGACCACAAAGATTGCTCGATTTGCGTAGCTATTATTTACTTTCATGCATGCATTGGCCGGGAAAAAGATTAAGCATACACGTCTTTTGGAGAGAAAAATAAGTAAAATATGTCCACATTTTTTGTCAAGCTGTTTCATTCATGTAAATCAACAACAAGGATCTTTAAGTGAAAGAAAATGTTTCTATGGTTGACAGGCCATCCAATTCCAGGTCTTGACGGAGAAACGTAGGCCTATTAAAGATCATAATTCCTCTGTAAATACACATGACGTGGTTTCAAAACCAAAAGCTCGCACAAGTAGCATGTAATCACTTGAATAAATGAATTCATGTGGTCCATTATATGGAATCAATCTGTTATATTCACAACACTTTTGTATTTGCAACACAACAGCTGCATTTCATTTGGAGGTAATCAACACTTGATTATCATAATAAAATAAGTCAGTTAGTTAAAGCTGAGTCGATTAGAAGTGTGGGGGGAGAGACAGTGTTTTTCAATGCATGTGTGAATCACTCAATATTCTGTCCTCATTTGTGTTGCATTACAGTATGTGTGTACGGCCAACGCTGGGGATAAACACCCATCCACAAACTGCTGAGTCAGCCAGTTTAGAGCCCTTGCAGACCGCTCCTTGTGTTAATATGTCTGGTCTCTTGTCTGGTCTTCAGATATCAGGGTTACTATCTGTTTGAAGGATCCAATCTGCAAGATTATGTGTGTTTGATGTTGCTTACAGCATCTGCCATCAGTTGTAATTGAATGTACTGCATATAATCTGATACAGCCGGGGAGGATGTTTCACAACCACTGTCATTGAGTGTGTGTGTGTGTGTGTGTGTGTGTGTGTGTGTGTGTGTGTGTGTGTGCGTGTGCGCGTGCGTGTGTGCGCGTGCGTGTGTGCGCGTGCGTGTGTGTGTGTAGGGTTCTTCTGCCTATGGATGCCCTGCAGAAATCATAAAAGCCTGTCAGTCCTGTAGGGATTAGCATCAGCCTTTTGGTGAAACATGGTCTCTATGCTAAATAACCCATTAAGGTGGTATCATCTGCATTTGGTCAAGGTGTTGAAGGATGCTACACATGCCAATGAAAATATTTTCAGTTTTTTATCCCTAATTGTATCCAACATAGACGAAAAAAGCAGTCACCCCTGATTTTCAAATATTTCATTACAAGTTTACGTCCATTGAATGTAATGTTTTATTTTTGAGTCTGGCCATTTTAACATTGCAGTAGGTTATGGTTGTGCACATAACACCTCACTCCTCATTTACCACGACCTGAAGCATTTGACTCTTACACTTGACATGTACATTAACATTTCAGTCTGATGCTGCCGCGTAGAGTGATGAGCGAGCAGGTACAGTGGAGGTTCAGTGTCAGGCTCAAGGACGCTTTGACACGGCACAAGGCTGCTGCTGGGACACATCAGCACTAGAGGTGATTAAATCATCCTTATAATAGGCAAGTGCATCTTAAAGGAAAAAAATCTTTAAGAAACTGAATTGTTCTAAACTTTATGAGCATTTATTTGTCTGTCAGAGAGGATTTATACCATAGACTGTATAGTAAGATGGACAGAAAGAAAAAAATCCTGGTAGTAAAGCCAAAATATTTAGAGCTCTCTCTGCTGACTGGCTGCAGTATAGGTCATAAACCCCACCTCCTCAAAAAAGTTTTTGTTTTCTAACACGTATTTGTTAGGATAGTTATTATCATACTGATATTAGTGCTTGGCGATATATCGTGAAGCTCTATTCGATTGATATTTAATTAATGCTTGATATGGAAAAGGGAACATTTTATTTTTTAAACTACTTCAAAGTTTTCTCGTGATATTTCGTTGCTCCGCGAGATTTCCGCGGCAGCGCTTGTTGCGCAGAGATGGAAGGGCGGAGGAGACTCCACTCCTGCCGCTGAGTAGCCTAGCTCTTATAAGCGACCAACACGGAGGAGAAAGAGAAAGATGCGAGCGAGGCCGAATTACTTCGAAAAAAGGGGCACATAACGCAGGGCTCGACATTATAACTGGCCCGCTGGCCTGGATGATTGATTGACAGAGTCGGGCCAGCTGATTGCACGTTCAGCTGGCTGCTTCACTGCTGTCACTTCCGCTCTCTACACTCGAATTGTACACTCGCACACAGATTTTAGCGCAGGTTTTCTCTACTAAAACACACGTTTGGTTAAAACGGTTTTAAAACCATCAGATCCCGACAAAAGTCGAGCTAAAATCAGCATTCAAGGAAAAAAAAATCACCGGAAGAGTCGACAGTGACAGCAGGGCATGACGAAAACAGAAGGGAGAAAAGTTTCAGCCACAGTGGCAGACAGCTGGAGGAGCTGGAACACGTTAAAGTTAAAGACTAGATCCTGGTAAAAATAAAAGTTATTCACAAAGCATCTTAGCCCTTAAGAGAGCTCCTAAAATAAAGATCTAAGGATGAAGAGTTTCTCACAGAGAAGAAAGAAGGAGAGATTTCAGCTCTATCGCAGCCTCATATTAATATCAGATTAAGTAGACTCTTACAGTTACCAGCATGGTGAATAAACATGAGCACATAAATATAATAAAAATACACAATATTTTTATAATCAGAGCTCAATTAAGGAAATAAAAGTTGTAGTTGACTTTTGCATCAGAATAGTTCAAGAGTAAATTGGTTATTTTTCGAATCAAAAGTAATGTTCCTGGGCCAGTGATATTTTTTTTTTATACAGTGGAGATTCAGTTTTATAGGCTACATTTAGAAAACTTTAATATGAAAAATATCGAGTCATATCGAATAACGACATCAGGCAAAAAAATATTGTGATATCAAATTTAGGCCATATCGCCCAGCACTAGCTGATATATGTCCACGTCTTCATTTAGCTGAGTAGTTTTAAAAATATATTTATTTGATATAAACACTAGTGGACACATCACAAAGGACAGCTCTTAACAGGATCAGCTAGAGGAGGAAAGACGAAAAAACGTTACAAAAAACTAACAACACAGTCATTGAACTTAACTCTGAGTGTCTGCTCCACTTCGACTCAGGAATCTGTACTGCTGTGGACTTCTGCTAGTAGTGACACAGCTTCCACCATCAAGCTCTCCTTTGCGCAAGTCTTGGCTCCAAATTATGCCACCAACGCAATATGTCTGTACTTGGCTCCACTTTTGTACAACGGGAGGAGGCGAAGATGTGTTGTCCATATTGATATACAGTCAATGATTCATTCCAATCAGATTGTTGTCTGTTAGCCATAGCCATGTGCTGGTTATCTTAGATTATCATAAAGCACAGTGAAGCAGCAATCCTGGTTCAGATCAAGGGTAGGAACATTAAAACTTTTTAAGCTTTCTCTATAAAATCAAAGAGTAAAAATGACAAATATCGGTTTCATTTGGAGTTACATGGTGGACTTTATCTTGACAGGATGCATTGACATCATGCATCCTTGTTACTAAAATTAAGTTGCTAGGAAACCAGCTCATCATCACCTTACACACTAATACAAATACACTGTTGGTTTTTACAGATGTTGCAATAGGTTAATAAGTGAGCTTTGTGGCACTGTTTATGCTTTCAGTTGTGCTTCCATGTGTGCTAAGCTAGCATCTCCTCCTTATAGTGTTACATATTTCCACATATTGATTTACCATACAGCTAAGCTATCACCCTGCTCTAGTGCTCAGCCAACCAAACATCATGATGTGAATGTGAAATTCTTTGTGTCAAACGAAGTTCAGCGACTGCATTTTGTCACCATAAAAAAACGAGAGCTACAGTAGACATGAAAGCTACCTCCTGAGAGACACAAAAAGAGGATTTTACTTGGGATTTGTTTTTGTGTGTGTGTGTGTGTGTGTGTGTGTTTCACCCCAACAGAGGAGCTGTAGTTCAAAGAGGTAGACTAGTGGAAAGTATGTCACTTGTACCACGCCAGGATAAGGTATTACTAGATTTAAATCCTTCAGCACTGATCAAAAACAGAACTTGCTACAGACACAGAGATACTGGTACACAAAGCCTCTCACACACACACACACACACACACACACACACACACACACACACACACACACACACACACACACACACACACACACACAGAAACACAAACTCATGCTTTCATGACAATAACTTGAACAATAACACCAACAACGGTGACCTTTGTGTCTCAGCTCACAGGCCAGATGACAGTCAGCGGTAGATCGCTCCGTGTGGCGAGGGATACTGTTATACTGTAGTCATTCTCTTTTATCACGCTGTTATTCTCTATTTTTATTTTTGTCCTTTTTTTTTTTACAACTGCAGTGTTATCAATAATGCATCTGCAAACAAGACCAGAACATTGATTTGATTTTCCAACTATATTGGTCTTACAAATATTGCTGTTAAACTCTAGTTGCAGCGTGGTTATTTACAATAAGTTAGTCCTTGAACTTGTGTAATGTAGTTTTATTTTCCATTCTACATTTCTATTTTTTTTTACCAACACTGCTTTTAACATTTCAGATCAGTTCATAGTTTAATCTTACCCGCAGAGACAGTTGTGCAGGGGCTCTGGGATGATGGAAGTCTTTGGAGAGAATGTTGCTCCTGCCCCAGATGTTTAATAACTAAAGATTTGGATTAACTTTTTCAAATCAAAATATGACCGTTAAATCTGCGATCGGAGTTTGGGAGCTTTTAGAGGCTTTTCCAAATCTTACATTCTAATAGTTCTGTAACATTTTTGTAGTGCAAGCTTTAGAAACACGTGTGAAAAATCACTGGGTGTTGTGTGTGTGTCCACCTATAGTGGTTTCTCCCACCAGTGTTTTCACACATGCAAGGTTTTCTGTATCTGTGACTGTGTGTGTTGGACTGTGTGAGTGTGTTTCTGAGTTCATTTGCTCATGCTTGTTTACTCACATGCCTC